TATTTTCACAGGGGAAAGTGTACTGCTGCTTCTTGGAACGACAGCTCTCAGTCTGGTACGAAATTACATCTTGCTCTAGTTTAGTTTTGTCAGGGTCAATGACAAAAACTACCACTGAAGTGTAGGGTAATGACGAGAAATTTAATCATCGTAGAATTACAAAACTCAATAATTTTGTCTTTTAGAATGGTACTCTGAGGATAGGATTATTTTTAAACTAAATGGGGAATATCTTATTGGTTATGGTAACGGGAGAATTTTGTAACTGAGCTGAACCTCATGGATAGTTTATTCTTACCCATTATTTGTGCATGCTCGCGTGCGCACAAGACGTGTCCATATCTACGTCACATGCCAATTGTATAGTTACATTTGTGTGATCCAAAGCATATACTTGAGCTTCATATTGACTGGTTTCTTATTCGTATCTAATCATCTATTAGCTAATATTGCTAACGAAATTGTGATTCATTGAATTGCACACAATAGCATTTAATTGCCTTTTTTTCTCATATTTTAAAGTAGGAATATTTACATTCAAAGTCCAACAGGTAACCACCCCATTGCTTTTCAAGTTAATACCAGCAGTTATGCACCTTGGCATATTGTTACGCTGGTTCTCACCTGAAAGTCCAAATGAGGTAATTACTCGTGTGACCTCCTTTCTTTCTTGACTGTATTTGAACCGAAAAGATTGAAATTTTCTTTATTGTTTTTCTTTTGCACCGTCTGCCTTTATATCTTTGCCATTAAAGATGTTTGTTAATTACAACTGCCCAAAGGACCGATCTAACCAGCCCCTAAAAGATACAACAATGTTTTGATATCACAAGATTCTTGCCATCAATTTTATTTATCCTCAATTTGCACCATGAAGGGGGATATTTCCAATATTAAAATATGACATATATTAAATTAGGTCCATTGTAATGGTATTGTTTTTTAATAACAAACACAACTATAATCATTTGCCGAATCATTCTTTGAAAATGATTCTTGCCGCCAGATTGGATTTAAAGGAGACAATCTCAGATCGGAAGTACTAAGCAGAGAATTGCTTTGATATCCAAGGATCTTTTGATACACGAAGGATGATGATTAAATGTAGTTGTAACGATTCCACTTATTTTTTTCCTTGGTAAAAAAGAGAGTTTTTACCTCGAATGCTGAGATTAAGACTAATGATGGCCTGATCGAGATTGTCAGTTCCCTGCTCGCCTCGTAGCCAAGTCCATCTGATCGTGAAATGTTCTCAATTAGTCTGTCAACCAAATTAGTGAAATACAAGGTGATACGAGCATCAAATCAGACTCTCAAGGAAGTAATCTAACTGATAGAACTACTAACAATTGGAGCACTGTTCTTTCTACCTTTTTTCCCCTTTTTGGGTCCTGAAATGTAAAATAGCTTGTCTTGTTAGTCTCAATTTGTTTTGTTTGTTATCCCTTCTTTTATTTTATTTTTTTCACCTTTTTTTTTTCATTGTAAAGCTTTCATCTGCATTTTTTTTTTCATTGTAAAGCTTTCATCTGCATTGCTCCATTGACTGGTAAGACATTATGCTGTACATAATGCTTGGCTTATGAAAAAGCTGATAGGGGACTTATTTGAGAATTTGTTTTCCTCTGTCACCACGTATTGCACTTTTATTCAGTGTGGACTGGACTTACTTTGATGTTCAAGGGAATCTTAAATACAAATATGCTAGTATGAATACGTATGATAAAAAGGGTTAACGGTTTGGGCTGGCTTTTAAATTGACGTTTGGTGGGTTGGGGCGGTGATGCAGATTGTGTATTTCGATAACTTGGTTTGCTCTGAAACTTGTGTTGATGCTTTAATTTTTAAGCGATAGGTTGTTATTACGCGCGCCGACGCTTTTGTACTTCAATGTTGTTGCGACGAAACTCGGATGTTGGTCCTATTTTTATTACGGTTTGTATGTGAAACTCTCACGAACTCCGACACACGAATTTGGTGATTAATGGTTAATTTTCGTGAAACTTCATTCATAATAAAAGTTGATCCAAAGACATGGTATTTAAAGACGAGAATTAAGTTTAAACCTAAGAAAACTTGAATTTTAACTGTTATTCGATTTGTAACAATGTAACTAACACGTAGTTCCCATATAAACAAAGTAATTTCGTCTTTTGTATTAGCTTTTATGTAAAGTCGATTTTTTACTCTGAATCGAATTTTTTCTAGTACAGATGGATATTTTATGTCCAAAGTTCGATCCCTATACAAGAAGTAATTTCAAATATTTATAGTAGCTTCTGTTTGCTCGTATTTCGAGGCACGTACAGTTGCATTTAATGCAAAGTGTCTTTATGGGGCGGTTGGCGACAGTTGGGCTCATAGAGTTGATGACAGAACATGTGTTACGTGAGGACATCTCGTAGGTGCAGCGTCACCTGCTTTAGATTTGGGAACTCGGTTTTGTCGTCATGTCGGTTAGAAGGAGGATACTTAGGTTGTCTGATGTAGTCGGTTTTCTTCTTATGAATAAGTCGGAATTTATCCGGTTTGAACCGAGTTGCCATGAGTTTATCACACATGGGCTTGAAGCTTTTAAACGTGATCTTCTATTAATTAAGTACAACATTACCAGGTCGGTGGTCAACATAGAGGCCCCCGATGTTAGTGGACATACGAGAGTGATGGTCGCTGACATCGTTATTGTGTTCA